AGATATAAAGGAGGTGGAGTAACCAGCCAAAGGGAAACTAAGAGTAGACAAAATAAGAAGTCAAGGTAAAAGTAATTCATAAAATGTACACGGTAGTGCGTGGGCACTTGCCATGAGCCCCTAAATTTTTAAACGACCAACACAACAGTAGAAGGAAGCACATTCAATTACATAATTGAAAACACTCAGGAGGTTATAAAACAAACGAGTTGCTCAAGAGAAGCCGAGTCATTTGTGGTAATGAATTTCTGCAGGCTCTGATCAAGAGAACACAGTGTGATGTCCTCAGCTGCAGCTCCATGGCGAAAGCAGTCGCGGGATTTCGGAGGCTGCTTCTCCTACGTCTCTAGACTTAAGCTGTTCATGTGATCCTAAACTGCGGTTCAGTAACAGGAACCACAGCAAGAGCCAAAACAAGACTATCTAAAGGCAGATTTCTGATCATTTTTCTTTAATCTAAAGATAAAATTTCCAACAGCAGAAGAGAGTGTAGAGTCCTCAGGAAATCCTCCATTAACATTACTTCTCCCAACTGAGCGTTTCTGATAGCTGCAAAGCAGACAAGCGTGTTGACAATTTAGGCCCTATTCATTTCCATTAGTACTCAGCAGAATCGGGGACGTTGTTTTATAAAAGTTAAGGAAACGGAGGAGAACTGAGAAAATATTTGCAAGCTAAGCCAAGATTTTCCTCAGAAAAGAATTTTAGATCTATTCTAATACAGATAAAGGGGCAAATGCTAAGATTTTTGCCGTTGAACACAACTGTGTTGGTTTAGCCTAGAAAATCTATGAAGCAGCTGTTAACAAACCTCCCTGTGCAGCCTTTTTTTCCCCCATTTTTTTAGCAGTATTCTAATATTTTGTTTAACTTTTTTATTGATTTATAATCATTTTACAATGTTGTGTCAAATTCCAGTGTTCAGCACAATTTTTCAGTCATTCATGGACATACACACTCATTGTCACAATTTTTTCTGTGAGTTATAACATTTTGTGTATATTTCCCTGTGCTATACAGTGTAATCTTGTTTTTTCCCCCATTTTTTATTATGATAAATACACATCTAAGATTTATCATCCTAATCATTTGTCAGTGTACAGCTCAGAATACATTTATGCTTTACATATTTTGACTTTTCAAGAAAGAGATCATTTTTACGGACCCTAACTCTCACAGTGGCTTTGAGTTTCAGTTCTGTATCAGCATAAATAGCCAAAAATTAAAACTGCATTCATATATATAACTTAGTCTACCACTGTTTGAAAAAATTTCAAGAGCAGTTGCAAATATGTAATGTGATAATGTTCCTAATGAATTTTTTCATAAGGTGATAAAATATGTAATCCCAGTCGGTACTGGAAAAGCTTGCCTTATGTCTTTTTTCTTTGCCTAAAGTCTGGTCTGGAAATTCTGGAATGATAGTTAACCAGAAGGAAACTGCTTTTTAAGTATAATAATTTATAATTACTAGATTTATGATTTTGAAAAAGTAGAAAGCTGTCCTTTTAAAAATGAGAAGATTCTAGGGCCCAACTGATGGCTCCTCCATCGATGTAGAAATAATTAAGGCAGCAGATTCGCAAGGCTCACTGTCCTCCAATCAGACTGAACCTTGAAGAGTTCTGACAGGCACAAAACAGAGAGCGCCCTGAGTCTAAAAGATGGTGATTAGTGGTCTTACTGCATAGCTTAGGATCCACTGAAATCATTCAGTATACTTTGCTTTTATATCACTTTGCTATTCCTGAACAAGGTATTTTTTCCCTAACTACTTAGGTATTGGCATTAACTTATTGATTCATTTAAGAAACATCTGTTGAGTACCTTTTAGACACTATGGGTTCCAAAATGAATGAGCCAGGAATCTTGGTGTTAACAAGCACACAGTCTGTGCTTTCTATTGATAGTCCAAGATGTTCTGATCAAGAAAAATATCCCTCTTTGTTTGTCTTTGTTATACCTAAGAATCTCTATTAACAGCAAACCAGGAGATTTCCCGTCTCACTCTGGGAAAAAAAACATCTCACAGGTATAACTATCACAGAATTATATTAACAAGTTTATTCAAGAAAAAGAACCATACCATTAATTCAGTGGCTGTTGTGTGATGCTGTTATTCTCTTGGAAAGGTCTGTCACCTCACTTGAAATGACTTAAGTTTCAGGTTTCCTCGTCTGTCACCAGAGCACAACTTCCTAGAATATGCTTTTCTTCTGGCTCTTCAACAGTCCAGCACTTCTAAACTTGATGCTTCACCCTAGCAATAATTTCCTATCTGCCCTTTCTTCTCTCTTCACTTTATCACATATAATGTCTATGGACTAACACTCTAATTTCATCTTGTCACTTCATTGTTCAGAAAATGCCAGGGATTGACCATTTCTGGTAAACTCCTGTGACTAGCCAGAACCTCTCCTAACACCATGCCTTTACTCACTCAACCTCACCTCTTATTACTCCAAATTAGTTGTACCTCAAACATTTTGAGCTTTCTGCAGTTCTTCCAGTTGGAAAGCCTTTCCCTCCCACCTTCATTTCAAGTTCAATTCAAATTCAGATCCTTTCCTCTGAACTCTTCCCAGCTGCTATTGCCCACATCCATTTTCTGAAATTAGTGACTATTATCAGTTTAGTTTTTAGAACTTAATCCCATACTACATTTGACTGTTACTTAATTGATTCCTCTCTGCAACTTCTCTTTCCAAGTAGATTGTAAACTCTCCCCAGAGAAAAGGGGCTCACCTTAAAATTGCATTTGTGTCTCCTCCTACTTTTAGTCAGTTGTTAGGCATATATTTGGTGTTCAATACATTTAAGAAATAGCTGTGGAATGAATGAATTACCACTGACTCCAAATGCACTTTCTTTCGTTTGCAGCTGGTGCTTGTAGTAAGTCCTATGTATTCCAACCTCAATGTTTTCAAACCTTTCCAACCACAACCAATAAAAATAAATTATTTTTATATTGTGATCTGATGTGCATGTGTGTGTGTGTGTACCTGCTGAAACAAACGTTTCAGAAAACAATACATATTATTTACACTGCATAATATATTCTAATATTTTCTATTCTGTTTTTTAGAAACACTGATCATGACACACTAAATTGATTCCATCACCACTAAAGAGTTATATAGAATATATACTCTATATTACGCTCCTTGGATTAATATGAGGTATATAATGTTGCTCTTGAAAAATGCTTAGACCAAAACACTACCTTGAGTGCTTATTCTGTTCCTGAAAATTTGAACTACAGTTATGATCTTTATACAGTTACCCTGAGATAACTTCTTACCATATTCCACCATGGCATTTAGAATCAACTCCTCCCACTTCTACTTTTTGAAATTTGGGACATAGTTAAATAATAATACAAAAAGTGTCCTCTAGATTTCTATTTCTTATGTTGTATTGACAAACTTTAGTCGCACATAAATAAAAATTTCCCAGCCTAATTTTAACCAGACCACTTGCAGATGAATAAAAGTAGTTATGCTCGTATTTTTGTTTCTTTACAATATCTGAAGAGCATGAGCTCTTATTGTCTGACCATCCAGAATCTGTTTCCCAGCTCTGCCAAGTTACATAACCTGAGAACGTTATTAACCTGGGCCTCCATTTCTGCATCCATGCAATGGGAATAATAGTATCAAGTTCAAAGGATTGATGGGGGTTAAATTAGACCTTGCAAGTAAAGAGCTTATTACAGGGCCTGGGACACACAAGTGCTCCATGAATGGAAATAATGTTTTATCACTGTAGCAGGTAAGTAAATGTATCTCAAACTTCCTTTTAGGACCATGAAGCAAGGTTCAGTCATAAGAACAAAAGTGAGATTACTTTTTCTCTTTACATGTCTAAGTAATTCTTGTAGTTGGATTATTTATTATGTAAAATTCCATTTCTGGTTTTTACAGATAATAAATACACCAAAGGAAAGGCTCTATTTGTGGTGCTGGATAATTATTGCACAATAAGGAATATTTATTGAAACTAAAAGACTGTGTGTATGTCTTGCAAAGACTTGCTTAGTTTTTCAAATCTCACTTAGGTTTCTGTTTTCGCTTATTAAAAAAATCTTTTTAAACTCTTGTATGTTGAATGGTGAAGTGTGCTTTAATTCAGCAAAATACTGCACACAATACACATACATAACAATCAAGACGTATACGGGCCTGGTTTTGAACAAAGCGAGACCCGGCGCTTCATTTCAGCGTTCCAAGTCAAAGTCCAGTTGCAGTTGCTTTTATACCCCTTCTTACCTCCACTTATCCACACCCTTATCTTGCCTAGGTCTTGCTACTTATGGGGTGTTTTTGATTGCAAGAGTTCAGCAGTTAACAGAAAACAGCCACCTTCCCACAGGAAATATTTTCCCCCTTACTTTTTAAATAATGCAAAACAGAATATCTCGTCCATTCTCCCGGAACACTGGTCCAGACTGAACCAGGCACAGGGGAGTTGCATCTCCTTACAAAATTACATAAAGGAAGTGATCAAGGTTCTCCTACTCCAGCTCAGTCGTTTGCTAAAGAGAGCTGCGTTAAACGTTGAGACAAAGGCTTCCACAATTTAATTGAACCGAAACTGGAGATCTCTGGGGATTAACTTTCAGTCATTACTCTCGAGATCGTGCGTATGCGTGCTGGGCGACTGGGGAAACCAAAGGCAGACAGCCAGAAACAGACCTGCAGCAGGAGGTAGAAACAGAGAAGTCGGCTAGAAGCCGCAGACTCCGTGTGAAACTCTCAGACCCTATTTCAACGTATCCCAGAAATGAGAGGTGGAGCAGAGCACACACGGGGCGATCATGAACCCGCAGCTCTCCACGCTGGCCGCCGGCCCCGCCCACAAGGCTGAGCCCGGCTCAGGACAGCGGCGGGGCGCGCTGGGCCCCTCGGTCGGCGCAGCCCCTTTCGTCACGTCCGGGGGCGGGGCGGGGCG